AGAGGCGTGCACTACTCCATAGACATCAAGGACACATTAACACAACAAGACATATAATTTACAAAAGTAGAAAGAATCATATCTAATATAACAAAAACCAACAAACTTAATAAAAGTACTCACTGATAACACACAAGACATAACACATTTCATAAACAATGCTATCATCATGTGGTACCAACGATACACAGTAGAACAAACTAAGACACCAGCCATTATGGTAACCCAATGCTACCACTGTCAAAGATTTGGGCACGTAGCAGCGGCTTGCCAGACAGCCCCATGATGTTTTGGATGTGGCGAAGATTACCACATAACACAATATCAGAAACAACACCCAGAACCTATGTGTTGTAACTGTGGGGAACATCATACAGCCAACTACAGGGGCTGTCAAAAATATAAAAACACGAATTTAGGAAATAAAAAAACCTAAATACACAAAAACATATACAGACACAACCACCACAAACAGTTTAGAAAAAGACACTATTACCAACACCACAAGCACAAATAATAACCTACGCCACAGCAGTAACCAATACATTAACAAAACAAAAGGAAAATAACAATGAAACACAGACTGTAGTAGAACCGGAAAGCAACAAAACAATCAAAGAAACAACAAAAACAACAAAACCAAATGAAAAAACAATGAAACGACACTAATTAACGTTTTAAAAAACAAAGCCACAGCATTCATGGAAGAATTCTTTAATCCAACAAGAATAGGCAGCTGCATCGACATTCTAATAAAGATAATAACAGAAAAAAATACGATCATACCTACCACTAATTCTACTCTCAATTACAAACACACTTACAAATTAAATTCACGGTGGCACATGTCAACATCCAAGGTGCGCTTGCTTCCAAGAAACACGAGATTGAAGATATAACCAACACCATTAAACCAGATATATTTGTTATCAGTGAAACTTGTTTATATGTTACACATACATTTAAAATAAAAGGCTACACAACAATCAGAAAAAATAGAATAAACAAAAATGACCTCAGCAGAGGTATATTCCTGCTACACAAGTCAGAATTGATTGTATCGGAAGTGGAAATAACATCCACGAATGAATGTATAATCAAAGATGTACTTACTGCAAATGCCATCAATACAACGGTAGCAGGTATTTACTGCTCACCGAATAAAAACCTAGATACTAAGTTACTGTGTGATATAAATAACCATAGTCAAAATACGATTATAACGTGAGACCTAAATAGTAAACATAGAATATTTAATTGTAAATCAACAAACGCAAATGGAAGAACATTATATAAATACCTAATAGATACTAACACAGTTTTATTAAATGATCCTACCCCGATACATGTATCAGACGCATATGGCACCAGCGATATCCTGGATCTATGTCTATGTTCGTTTAATACGAGTCAAAAATTCGTAAATTTTCAAGTAGGACATGATATTGATAGTGACCACTACCTGTCTGGTGAATCTTCAATCTCACCCCCACACAAATAAATCAATAGAAACCGAAAAATTCAACTATAAGAAAGCAAATTGGAGAGAATATCAAAAACTCATTTACAATACGCTACCGAAAGTAAAAGTATCTCATGCCGCGGAAGCATCAGAAATAGATGCTTATTGCCATACAATCACCGAGTGTCTAAAAACGGCAGCAAAACAAACAATACCCAAACTCAAACAACCAACAATAACAAAAACATGGCAACCTCACACACAAATTATAGAAATGATAAAAGAAAGAAGGAAACTACGCAGACAATTCATAGAAACCCGAGATACAATACTTAAAACACGAATAAACACATTAAGAAACAAAATAAGAAATGAAGTCCGTCAACTAAAACAAGACAGCTGGAATCATTTCTGTTCACAAATAAATGATAAAACCGACCCAAAACAATTCTGGAACCACCTAAAACTGAACACCAATACAGGAAACACTAATAGTAACTATCCACCCCTAGGAACACAAAATAACACAGCATACAGAAACACTGAAAAGGCAAAAGTATTTATAGAACACCAACAAACACACCAAGAACCACACATGAATGTACACTTCTACAACAAAGCTAACAACCACATTAAACAAAACATAACCATGTACACAACAATATTTCCAGTTAACACATAAAACACAAATATCAAACTAAATGAAATAGAAAACCCAATTACACATCAACTCACAAAAACAATTTCAGAAACAGAAGTTCAACTGGCCATTAAAACTACGAAAAACAAAGCACCAGGAGAAGATGGCATACAGGCTATCTTCCTCAAAAAAAGGCACTCGGAGATTGTATGGACAACTTACAGCACTTTTTAATTTATCACTAAGTTCTGGAGACATCTCTGTTTCTTGGAAGCAAGCGATCGTACTAATGTTCCATAAAGGAAAGCCAGCAAATAAACCAAACAACTACCGCCCGATCAGCCTGACCAGCTGTGTAGGAAATATTCTCGAATGAATAATAAGCAATAGACTCTCAAATTGCCTAGAAGTAACCTCAAAATTACCAGAAATCCGAAATGAGTTTAGAAAATTCCAACAGATAACAGATCATTTGGTTAGTTAGACAAACAGAAACAATTATATATAGCATTAATAAAAATGAAGGCACTGTCGCCTGCTTTCTCGATGTCGAGAAAGCCTTCGACACTGTATGGCACAATGGTCTTAGGTTCCGTATGACGGAATTGGAACTACCGTGGGTGATTATTCGCCCACGGCTATTTAACTTCTTGGAAAATAGAAGAATATTGTCAAAAATATCGAATAAAAATAAACGCCCCAAAAAACCAATTACTAACTTTTACAGGATTAACAAAACATAAAAAAGACCCACCTAAACTATACATGAATGGAACACTTCTCCAGACCACAACATCGGCAAAATTTTTAGAATTAACTTTGGACCCAAAACTGACGTAGGTAAAACATACAAATAATATATTAACAAAAATCTGGAAACATACAAATTATGTAAGAGTTTAACAGGCAAAACCCGGGGGACATCACCTGATATCATTATTAAAATATACAAAACATATATATGTCCCAGCATAGAATATGCATGTCCCACATGGATAAACATAGCTACCAAACACATAAATAAACTACAATCTATACAAAACTCACTTATTACCACAGCACATAAAGTCCCCCGCAGCACCTTATCAAAATTTACTCACAGCTGTGCAAACACACAAACAATAGCTGATAGACTCTTGTATAAATCTCTGAATGACTTTGGGAAAAATTAGCAAAAGAATGACCTACTCTGTGAACTTGATTTTACTACATGCATGATGGAAGTAGACTTAAGTACTTCTCGCCTGTAAACATATACTTTAGAAATAAGGATGTAATAAGGCCACCTATTACTAGACTTTAAAACTCTACACTAGTTAGAACCTAAGAACAATACATTTAATAGGGTATTTTATGTAAAATGCATTCGATTAGTCTCTAACTAGTGAAATGTGTTGTGTGCATTATGGAACTGACTCTAGAGATATAGTGAAAAACACAGAATGTAACTGTAAATACCTACATGGACATTGCTCTGAAAGGGGTCGGAGCAAGTGCGGTTTATTCCGACCCTCATGTTGTATCAACACCAACATTCACCGGTAGTTAATTACAGTTCGGAAAGGAGGAAGAGGTCACCATGAACCTGATCCTTCCTGGTCCATCATATGACTAAAATACCGATATTGGAGAAGAAGAAGAAGAAAAGAGGTCTACGCTGAACCTGACCCTCCCTGTTCCAAAACATAGACCGAATCCCGATGAAGAAGAAGCGTATATAGTTTGTTTGTTTGTAATTAAGCACAAAGCTACACAATGGGCTATCTGTGCTCTCCCCACCACGGTACCAGGATTCTAGCGTTGTAAGTCCGCAGACATACTGCTGTGCCACTGGGGGGCGAAGCGTATATAGAGGACCTATATTATTCACTCTTAGTGGCAATCAATTTCACCTGAAAATATCACGTTTGTATCATAGAAACGGTTTAATGTTTCAAAAGATATGATTTATCCTGTGATGTGATGCTTAAATTACGGAATTCAGAGATTAAAATTCTGGTGATTTTTGTTAGTACATTGATAATATATTGTTACGCCTCCGGTCGTTAGTTAATTTTCCGTAAATTCGTTCCGACGAAACTTTAGCGACGCAAGTCCTTTCTTAAATAAAACTGGTTTATTCTTTCCGAATACAACTTTACGATACACTTAATTTCAACAGTCGCGCTATAACAAACGCTATATCTCACGTGGCCAACAATATTTTCTCTGACTGCAGTTCAATTACTCAATACTACCCTGTTTCCGTCACGTTGTGACCGTCTTATATATATAAGACTAACACATTCTTGAAGGAACAGGATATTTCTAGAAAACGTGGCGTGACACTGGTCACGTGACCTTGCTGACGCAACAATATTCAATAATTTTATTATATTAATTATGTTAGTTTCCGAGAGGTGATAGCGGGCAACATAAAAAGTAATAATCCAATAATAATAAATTATTATTAATAAACGTTTGTTTATGCGCGTGAAAATCTTGTTCTTATAATAAAAAAAAACTTATATGTTTATACACACACACATATTAATTAACGTTTGCAACAGTCAGTACAATATTATATTCACAATTTAATGCACCACTGTATGGATGAAAAAACCGCAAGTTTACGAATTACATTTATGTCATAATTTGTAGTAATTTCTAAGGTAATTTTGAAATATTTGTTTACATGCATTTATTCGGTACGCTAGTTTTGTGAATAAATGTTTATGATATAATAGTCACGTTATATATATATATATATGCAAATAGCATAATATGAGCAAGCATTTGAATTTTTTAAATGCCAAAAATGTTTTTCAATTTGTAAATTATTATCATTATTAAAATGAAATGAAGATGAAATGGAGAAATGTTTATCTTCTTTTATCCTGACCTTAAAATAAAACTCCATTGTTTTTTTGTCAGCGTATGGATACAACAAACATCTCACGAAAGCGGTACGCACGTTCTGCACTGCTTGCGTAGAAGCAACGATCACTATTATTTCACAAAAGTAGGTAGATAATCTGTTTGTAGGACTGTGTTTAAAAATATATACATAATGACTTCTTGGCAAACATATGTAGATAATCAAATTTGTGCACAGGTCCAGTGTAGGCTAGCTGTAATTGCTGGCATTCAAAATGGAGGGATTTGGGCTAAGTATGAAATGGATTCAACTTGTACGGTAAGTTGTTTTTGTACGAAATATATTGTCACTATGTGGTGTTATTAACATTATTGTAAGTTACTTATAACTGTATAACTTAACAATTTTAATATAGTATTATTGTCATTTAAATTGTAATGTATATTGTTACATGCATTTAATTTTTTACTCTTTAGCTTGTATCATTTAAATTACTATCAGTGTATCATTATCAAGCTTTAAAGTTTATGGTCATGTTGATTGTTGTTATCAGTTATATTGGAATTGGATAGCAATATTTATAACTAAGGAAATTTGGGAAACGCAGATTGTAGAACTTCTAGAAATTGTTTATAATTTTATATCATTTGAAAAGGCCTCTTCAAGACTAATAGTAATACTATTACTAGTCTTACTCATATCATGGTGAATGCTGTGGGTTCTACTTTTACGTTCTAGAACTAGGAGTAGAACGTGGAACTAGAACTAGGTACGATATTTGTAGTGAAGACAGAGTGAGACAGTGACTTGCAACTCGGTGAAAATGAAAGTCTAAACTTGCGTATTTGGAGTCTGGGATATTGCAAATCATTTATTAATAGCAATAACTAGCTGAATGCCCGTTATATGGCGGTAAAGGCTGATTAATTTTCATTCTGAAAATTAAATCTAAGTAAATGTTTTATGAACATGTGTTCTAAAACTAATATTGTAGTAACAATATATATGTATGGAAAATGTCTATCCTTTTTAAGTATTTCACAAAAACAACATTTTTTGTGTGTGTATTTGGTCATCTCCTCTAAGTTGACCTTGAGTATAATTTTGACTTTTGCATATTATGTTCAATGTTCTTCATAATAAAGCCTTATACTATTATAGTTATAAATTTAACCATGTGAAAAAACAGGTTCACAAAGATATATTTCTGCATTGTCAAATGGATGACCTACAATTTATTAATTGTTATGGCAGAGGAAATGAACTTTATGTTGAAGTGCAAATTCACGAAGGTATACTTTTATAAGGTTTATTAAAATTGCTTACAAATTATTGACTAAATTAAAAAACATATCTTGGGGAAGGTGAAAAACATCAATAATAATGTATTGTAGCATCATCTGTTGTGTTTAAAATATATTTAAGTTGTTTTTGACATGTACATTAATGTGTGTTTATGATTAATATGATATTATCCCTTATTTAATTTATAATTGTATTCATATTTTTCCAAATATTCAAAGAGATTGTTGTAAGTATGATGATACATATATATATAAAAAAAATTAGTATAAAATCCTAACTTCACTGGGATTTTAACTCCAGACTTCCACATGACAGTTGAGCACTGTAACCGCTATAACTACCATTTCAACTCTAAAATGTAAAGTATCATTTATACCTTAAACCCACTGCTGTAATGGAAAGATCAAATAGTGTTCCTGTTTCTAATTATAGAAAATTTTAATGTTAGAGCAAAAAGGCTTTTGTGGTGCAGTACAAGACTAATGTGATTTTGTTTAGAGTACTTTGTGCAGTTTTAGCTTCCCACAGATAGAATACTAGTACTAGAATTATACCTGATTTAATTCACTTAACTCGGTGGTTTTCAATTTTTTTCAGCTGAGAGCCCCATTAGAAAAAATGTTAATTCATGGTCCTTGCCATCTTACTTTGTAGGTATGCATATGCTGAGATTGTATACAGTGAGCCAGACAAATACATTATAGATAGAATCACAACAACCAAATATAAATTGTTTTTCAGTAATTTTTTTTAAATTTAATTGATGCTATAATGAAATTTTGATTTTAAACTTGGGCTGTTTAAAAAACCAATACAAATTTAGGATATGTATTTTTTTTTCCTATATGCCATTTTTGAAATGAACAGATGTTCACAACAAATTTACAGTAATTCACCGTCTCACTTAAAAGTGGAATGCAGTTAATCATAATTTGATATTTCTTTTCCTGCTGGATGAATAAGAGATTTCAATTGTGTGAGGTTTCCTGGACCTGGGGTTCCCAACAAGGTAGCATATGCCTCCAGTGCCTTGATTTGCGTGAATTAATACATGTTTAAGGTTGTTTTTGCTGCTGAAGGTATTGAAGTTTCAGTTCAAAAACTCGTCAAGTTTTTCAATATGTTTGGGATGTTTTGTGTGTGCTGCTGGAGTTTATGAAGTTTTTTAGGTTTTCATTGGCCAAGATTTGATTTAAAACTCTTCACAATGAATTAATATCCTTTCGTAGATAAGGAGAAGAAAACTACATGATATTCCAAGTAAGATCTAAATAGTGATTTGTATAAAAAGATAATTATCTCTTTTGACTTGTAATCATTGTTTGTAAGTACACTTTAAAGTTCTGGTCACTTTACTACTACAAATAGAGTGCTACTTAATGATTTAAGAAATTTATCCAGCACTGTGCATGGCTAATGCATGAAACAGTCCTGTACTACACAGTAGTAATAGGTTTAAGCTTTGTAAACCTAAATATCAAATGTTTCTTTGAAGAATTGTTTTTAAGTGTTACAAATGTATGAAGTAGTTTGCATGGTGATTCTTACATGCAGTGTAAGTTCTATGTAAGTTCAATAAATGTGTATGTGTGTGTGTGTGTGTGTATTCTTTTTCGGTTGAGAGTAGTCATAACATTTATATCATAGTCTAATGAATCATACTAAATTTACCATTTGCTCATTTCACTGATTGTGAGAGAATGTGTATCAGCAGATTATTTGTATAATAATTATATGTATTGGAATATTTATTATAGACTTAAATAGAAAATGTTTATTTCACCATTGCTTTCTGTATTGGGATGCCAACCTAGCAATAAGTTATGTTATTTGCTCTAATTATTATAAATGCCACATTGTATTTCATTCAGATATCTTGCACGTAATTAGTATATTTTTATTCATATGATGTAGTAACACATTTATAGAGCATTCCATACACTTTTGAAGGTAACAAAATTGTTGAGTTGTAAATTTCAAGCATTTTGTGTAATTGGATTTAGGGGTGACCTTAATGGGCTGATTTGGTTTTCTGCCACTTTGCATACTGTATGTAAAATAACTAATCCTGACTGTAATGAGTAACTGTAATTAGTATTTATGAATAAGAATTTTTGAGTGAAAGTAGTGCACAACAATGTTAACCACACTATCTGCTGTTTCCAGTGCCAGTAAGGCCCTTAACCCTATACCCAGGGCTCTTCAGATTGTCTTGGATATGATAGACATAGTAGTGCTTGAGGTGCTACTTATATTGCCAAAATTGTTTGACAACAAATGTTACATTGCAAACTGGATTTTAAGTTTATGAAATATATGTACATTACAACAAATCAGAATTAGGGTAAGGATTTTTTTTAATCTATAGATTAATCCCTCTTTTTTTAGAACCTGAGGCTATAATACTAACTAATTGTGCACATTTGTACAATGTTATTTCCAAACTAAGATAGTCCAACACTTAGGCCAAGAGCTTTTATTTTATCAGTTTGTTGTAGGGTTTGTTTTTTAATTTATATGTTTGTGTTGTTGTTCGGCCAGGAGGAAGTTTTATGTCATGTAAGATGGCTTGACTTAAGTATAACTTTCTTGAAAGATTAGGAAATGATTTTGCAGTATGATAGGTGAGTTATTCTAGAGTAAATAATGGGTGCTACTATAGCATACAGTCTAGAAAGATATTTACACTATAGCCTGCTATCTACACAGATACTATCATCACCACCATTTTAATGATTCACTAAAATATAATTTCTTGCTAAATAATTAATATCTATCCATGTTTTTCTTCAGCAAATAATAATAATTTAATAAGTTGTGTGATCCAAAAGAGTACCGTAGATTTAGGTTATAATTGTGCTAGTTTTGACTGTTGGAATTTATTTCCTTATGATAATATTTGCCCCCAAAATGTTACTTAATAGTATTTTGTACTTTATTAGTTTAAAAGCGTTATTTATGATAAATGGTGCCAATTGCAAATAAATGAAAGTTAAAACAGTGATGATAGTATCTGTGTAGACCACATGCTATGGTGTAAATATCTTTGTAGACCACACACTATAGTAACACCAAATAAGGATTAATTATTGAGTTAGAGTTTTAGTTTGTCTATTACTGTCAGCTATTTAGTCATTTCATTTTTGTGAATAATCAGTTTCAAAGAAGTACTATTTACAAGAAATACCTCGTGGAA